GAGAGAGAGAGAGAGAGAGAGAGAGAGAGAGAGAGAGAGAGAGAGTTGACGTGTGTTGCGGGGTGGGGTGGGGTGCTGCGTACCACAGTGTGTGGGAAGAAATGTGCTGAGCACGTGGCAGGGGGTTGCATGCGTGCTTTAGTGAGCAGGAGCAGTCTCCGCCACTAGGCACTTGATACCCACGCCTACACCAACACCCATGCCAGCCAGATGACAGCTCGGAGAGTGCTGCTAGGTGGCGCCCTGCATGCCAAGTCAACTTGTGGGCAGCAATCGCAGGCGACCCAGGTAGCCTCACCCGTGTTCATGTTTTCGATCCACAGCGCATCCACGGGGCCGTCAAACACCAGCCACTTGCGGTCCGGGGACGTGTCGCGCGTGGCGCCCCTGCGGGCGGGCGCGCAGATGGAGACGAGAGCGTGCATGCAGACTGGGCGCCTTGGCGGCGACCGGTTGGCGGATTTCGGTCAAACGAGTCGCAACGCATGCAGAGAGCGACCAACCCTGGATCACCAGCCTGGGACAGCTCGGCGCCACCGCCTCGACACAGTATCGCCTCAGCTGCAGCGTCTCAGGTACAGCACTTACAGTGCAGCCGCAGGCTCCCAAAGCCAACCTGAACAGCGCCGGCAGCACCCCGTCTGTCCACTCCAGTGACACCGGATCCTCCTGCCCATACAGCTGCCCCATGGTGACCGCCTTGGGGTTGAGCACCAGCAGCTTGACGGGCACCTCTCCGCCCTGCCCGCGCGCAGCCATGTCTGCGAATGTTTTGGGGTGTGTTGTTGGCTTCAAGGGCTAGTGGCTGGGTTCAGCCACGTGCCGCTGAATGCTCGCCGCGATGGATGCAGTACCCTGAGAGCAAAAGTGACCCTGGCGAGGCCCTCAACACGTTTTGCCGCTGCACGAGCCGCAGTGGTGTGGCTCGACTACAGCAAATGCACGCAGCCAAGCGCACCGCTGAGCGCCCCGGCCAGCTTCCTGTATGCGGTGGTCTTCATGCCGTAGCTCGCGCCCACCAGCATTAGGCCGTGGCGCACCTGAGTCGCCACGCACGGCGATTATTGATGGTGCAAAGAGTGGTGTGTTGTTCAGCAAGCGGAGGGCAGGAGAGGACCATGCACATGCTTGTGCGTGTGCGTGTGCGTGTGTGTATGTGTGTGTGTGTGTTTTGGCAAGAATGTGCTGTGTGTGCTTGCGTGCAGAAAAGCAGATGACCTGTTTTTGCAGGCCCAGAATCTCCCATGCCCACACTGTCCAAGTTCAGGAATGGGCTAGGCAGGCAGGGCAGGATGGTGCAGGCAGGGCAGGATGGCGAGCAGCGACTGGGATGTGTGGCCCGTTGTTCTTTTGTCCTTCCCCACAGGCCGCAACTCATGAGGAGTGGCAAGGTGGGTGATGATGGGACCCACCAGGATCATCTCGTAAAGCTGAACAGCCTTCACCAAAAACGGCTCGAGCGGCTGCAGCCCGGCGCGGGCGCAGTTGTCTGCGCGAGCGCAGGGGTGCACGTTGCGAGGGCGGTTGCTCGAGGTTCAGCAGCCGAGTCTGTGGTTGGCAGGACCGCCATTCCGCCTCACCCATCGGCGCCACCAGCGCCAGCGAGCCGAGCCGCGGCGCGCCTACAAAGGCATCCTTATTGGATTCCAGCAGGGGAAGCTAAATATACGGGGGGTTTTGGCGTAATCGTCACCTGCCAGGGCAGCCCTGAGGGCAACGTAGTCCACATCCGGCGGGTCCACCCCCGGGAACAGGTCCGACAGAATGCCTTTGGGGGCAGGGGTTTTTGGCGCGCCGCGGACGAGCTCGTGTGCGGGGAGTTCATTGGAGCGCTTGCTGTCTTGCAGGTTGCCTATCGAGCACATCTTCAGCAATAGCAGCACGCCGTTGAGGCGCGTGTGTGATGGAACCCTGGTGGGCCGCACCGTTGAAGAGCGGCACGTCCTGGTCCAGGAACTTTGGCACGTTGACGTCCCTGATGGCGCGCAGCATGAGCACGTCCTCCCCCGCGGCGGGGAAGGCGCGCTTGAGGCTGCCGGCCGCGCGCAGCACGCTCATCACGGCGCGCATGCCCTGGCGGTTTTGAAGCAGTTGGGCGAGGTGCGGCGTGGTTTGGTTTAGTTTGGAAGATATACAGGGTTTGGGGGGAGATGAGGGGCTTGCGGCATGCAAGGCAGGCGCCTGTGCACTTTGTGCCTGGGCTCAAAGTTGGCTCCGCAACGGGGACCTTGCGTGTGGCCACGCTTCCACGCAGCCGTGTAACCCCATGCATCAACGCAAACAACAAGAGGAACCATCCCGAGGCAGCCCTGGTGCCTCACGTAGTCGTAGTGGTCCTGGCTGGACAGCTGCTCGCTGCACAGCCGGTAGGTCTGGACAAGCTTGCGCGCCAGGGCGCGGGCGTCCAGGTAGCCGTAGCTGGAGATGGTCACAGAGTTTGCGGTGGCATGTTGCCGAGGAAGAGCCGTGCGCCAGCCATATGCAGACTATGTGCAAGGTGGACACGGGCAGAAATCATGCAAATGTGTGGCGAAGTTCATTCGTGTGCCCAGCAATGCCGGTCAAAAAGCTGGGAACCCCGTAATCGACAGCAACAAGACCGCCAGCCGGTTCCTGGTCAAACCGCGGTCAAACCTGTACAGCATGATCTCCGCGATCATGGCGTAGTCGGGCACCATCATGGCCACGTCGCGGAAGAGCGCCTTGAGGTTGTCTGGCAGCTCGCTGCGGCCTGCATACCTGCGGGTGCGCAGACGAGGGACCCGGGGGGGGGGGGGCTTGCATGAATTAGCAGCGACCGCGCGACCGTATCGGGGCCCCGCAGCTCGTGGGCCGCGCCGGAGACACGCGTGCGTGGGTGCGGATGCAGGCAAGCTCGACGCCTGGACGGGAGTATAAAAACGAGTGTCGGCTGCATGGCCGGTGACGAGGCAGCGGCACGGGTGACCACAGTCACGCCACATTCCCCACCCCGGGTTCATGGTGATGAAGACGTTGCACGTCGGCACCAGGGGGATGTCAGTGCCTGCGACATTGATTTGTTGAGAGCCAAGTCAGCAGTAAAACCCCCTGTTTTGGGTCAAAGCGGGCAGGTCCGCCTTGTGTTGGGTGCGCTCATGGCAATTTAGCCAGCATAAAGTTGCCATCACCCCAGCCTCAAGATGTCGGCGCTGCTCCCCTGAATGACGAGCACTGGCTTTCCCCTTCCCCGCCTCCCCGCAAACAAAGCAGGGCCTCACCATCGAACATGAAGTTGCGGGCCTTGGCGGCCTTGGCCCTCACTATGGTCAGCACCTGCTGCGCAACAACACTGAGGACCTGGGGGCGACGGCGTTGATTACGGGCGACAGGGTCACGCCAGGGGAGGGGGTTGCATGCAAGATGCAGGAGCGCGATAGGGCAACATGGATCCCACAATGTAGATGAAAGAAAACAGCAGCCTCACAGCAGCATGCAAACTGCCTTGTGCAACGGCTGTCGTGAGACAGACTTGCGCATGCTGGGTGATGGCCCAAGGCGATGTGGCAATCGACGGGCCAGGAGCGCATCCGATTTTGGCTGCCGCTGCCATCCTTTCGTAAGCTACATGTCCAGATCCAGGAGCCAGGAAGGACTCAGACCTCAAAAGGCGTGCCCGAGTGCACCAGGATTCAAAACTTCCTGATGGCACCCACCTCAAGGTCAATGCGGTTGAACTCGTCAAAGCAAGCCCAGGCGCCGCAGCACGCCAGGCCCTTAAAGAACTTGCCCTGGGGAGGTTTTTGGGTCGGGGGATATCTTCTCAGTCGTGCTGACAGCTTTACGGCTGCAGCTGGTTTAACATAATTGGAACCCCACCATCAACACGCAAATTATTTGAGCCCAGCCCAGTTGTTCCGGTGAAGCACAGAGCGATAACTTCCGACCTTGACACACCTACATGCGATGATCCTGCCTGGCTTGCCTGTCGAGGCAAATCACACTGCGCTGACCAGGCACGTTTGCCAGGGAGGGGGATCTACTCACCATGGCTTTGTAGTCGAGGCCGTCGCTGCAATTGAAGACAACGCACTGCATTGCTAGAGCCTTTGACAGGTCCTTGGTGGTCTCGGTCTTGCCGGTGCCTAGTCTCAAAGGGCAGGGGAAAAAGCGCGTGGGCTAAGGTCTACAAGGCATACCTGTGAGCAGACTTGAGCAGGCACCAGCAGGCAGTATCAGGTTGAGTCTACGAGATGGAGAACTGGGCACGCGGCGTGCCGGCGTGGCGTCTGGAGTCGGAGAGATCGCAGAGGGGGAACACACGAGCCGAGCACGCTGGGCGCTGCTCACCGGCGGGCCCGGCGGGCGCTCCTCCGAGGTTCATGTGGATGGCGCCAATCAAGGTGCGGTAGCACCTGGGGACAATCATGGTCAGAGAGGACAAGGTCGTTCAAAGCGGACGTTGCCGGGCAGGCGCGCTTGCAACAAGCCGAGCCTGTCAGCGGCCCCAAAGCTGCCAGGGCCGCGCCGCCCTGACGCACATGCGACTGCGCGAGCAGCCTTGCTCCGCCCCAGCCTTGAGCTGCTGCTGAGCGTTTGCCTCGTGGCGCTTGGGTGTACGCGCCTGTCCGTGAGCGGCGTGATGACGAGGCGGCCGCTGTTGCCCAGGTACTCGTAGCCGTACAGCGCCTCCGCGTTGATCATCCGCACCACCAGGGTTTCCTGCACCCATGCGTTTCACACGTGTTGTGTTGTGTTTGTTTGTTTGTTTGTTTGTTTGTTTGTTTGTTTGTTTGTTTGTTTGTTTGTTTGTTTGCTTGCTTGCTTGTTTGTTTATTTGTGTGTGTGTGTGTGTGTGTGTGTGTGTGTGTGTGTGTGTGTGTGTGTGTGCATGTGCACACCTTTGGCCTGGGGCATCATGCAAAGGTCCACGCCTGATAATGTCAGGCTGCATACTTCACCGAGGTCTCATTCGAGGTGTGAGGCCCGGGGGGCTGATGAGACAAGACACCTGCTCTTAGAGACCTGCCGCTGGCTGATGCTGACGCAACGTCGCCTCACCACGGGGCCCTTGACGCCGGAGGGCGGCTCGTCCTGGGTCTCCCAATAGTACCTGGGGGGAGTGATGGTGGGGGAGCCGCGAAACGCGAGGGACGGGTGTGTTGGGAGGGTTGTTTGAGATATGCCCATCCAAAGGCAGGCGCCGTGCAAGGGGCTGGCGCGGCGGCGCTGCGGGACGCCGTGAAGCAGGTTTGCCAGCCAGGCCAGCCTCGGCGCACTGCCGTGCAGCACCGGCCCTCAATCCCACCCTTGCAGGCTGCTCGTCCCGCTAATGCTGGCATCAAGCTGACAGGACCGTCAGCCCTGCATGTCATCCACCCACTGGTGGACAATACCTCATCCGCCCCCATCCCACCTCAGCTGGCTCTCCCACTTGAAGTCCCTCAGGTCCTCCACGCCCTCCTCCGCCATGAACGACACCACATCCCTGCAGACACAAAGTCGAGTGCATGCGGTGCGGCAGCGTGTTCTGTAGCTTGAGCTGGCACCATGGATGCACAATGCAGGCGCAAGCCACTCCAGAACAGGGCACACAGCTGCCGCCGCAAGTGCGCAAACAAAAGTCCACGTCCCTGCAGCCCACTCCCCAGAGGACCTGCCAATTATGACACCATTTTGCGCAGGTTGCTCCAGACCCTGGTACTTGGGCAACTGCAATTATGCCTCATCTTCAACAACTCCACTAGCCCTGTATTCTGTATCAACACGAAAGCCTCTTTAGCTACCTTGACTCGCTTCAACTACCGGTAAACAACTTTGGCACCCTGCTGTTGAAGAGCTCACCGCGCGTGCACATCAATGACCACCAGCGCGCCGCAGGTGGCACGCTCCAGTGATGTGAGGCTGCCTCGCACCAGCCCCACAATCTTGTTCAGGTCCTGCGAGGGTGCCAGGGTTTAGGGTTTGGAACCAGGGTTGAGGGCTGATTGCCAACAGGAACAGCCTTGCACACGCAGGTGCTGATACATTGTGCAAGTAAAGCTGGGCAAAGGCAGAGAGTGGGGCAGCAATGATTTGCAACACAATCATGCACATGCAGGGTTCCAGTGGAAGTGAGGAGCGTGCGCAGCGGCTGAACGAGCCCGTACCTGGGTGCATTTTGCGGCGTAGGCAGTCAGCCCCTTGGCCCCCGCCGACTGGATCGCATCGGTCACGTGCCTCGTCCAGTGGACCTGCCATCATAGAACCAGACACGCAGCAATCCATTAGTACAGGGCATGCAGCAGAATCGCGGAATTGCTCGTGCTGGCTGGTGTCTGTTGGCCATGCGGATGTGGAGGGCACGCATCAAGCTCTGCGAGGCAACCGGTGGCTCTTTATCTAAGCTCTATCGCACGCGACCGGTGGTTGGTCTTCATGTTCTTGCCTGCGAGCCCGCGAGCACCGTCTGCCCCGGCCACTGCAGTATCCACTGGTGACGCGGCGTGGTGACGTAAGCGGCCAGGGCGTCCCGCGTCAGGCGGTGGAGCGCCTGCTTCAGGGCCGACTCCACGCGCAGCAGCCAGCGCTCGACGCCGCCTTGGGGGTGCGTGTGGGCGCGTTGGATCGAGTGTGCACGTGGCCCGCAAGGCGCAGGAGATTTGCACGCTTTGTTGCACTTGCAATTAGCTCTGCTTGACAGGTGCCGATGATCCTGGAATGGCTGGTCAAACGCCCTGGTTGGGACGCATACTGGTGGTTCTGCCGTGCAGAAAAGAGCGCCCGCGGCTGATGATGCGTCCTGGTCAGGGCGCACCTTCTGCAGTGGGATCCACGTTTTCAAGGAAGTCGATCTTCTCCCCCTCCACGCTTACGCACCCGGTGATTAACGGCCCGGCACCAGGGACGTCTGGCAGTGTGGCAGGCGGAAGGGCAGGGGCTGTCATGCATATCAAGGGGCCGGGCGAGCGCCCGTGGCGAGCTCGCACGAAACACTGATGCCGTCCAACGGCGATCAGGTGCGCTGCACACCAACCAAGACTTCCATGCGAGAGCGCTGCTTGGCAGCTCCAGTGCGGCTGGCAAGCAAGCGCCGGGCGCACTGAGCGAGTTGATGTCTGAGTCCTGCATGGTACGATGCAGTGCAGTACGGCACGGAGCTTGGCCGGGCAGTACAGGCAGCGGCGCCGGCACTCACCGCCCGTAGGGGGTGCGAACACGAGCTCCTTGACGGCCTCGAAGCACTTCTTCACAAACGGCTGCACTGCTATGGGGTCACGCGCCTCCGCCAGGATCTGGAAAAAAGGGGCAGAGATTGTCGTCAGAAGCTCATCTTCAGGGGAAGGCTGGTGCGGGCCAGAGGAGGGCCGAATGATGAAATGAACGCGGCGCTCGTCGGCGCCAATCATGACAGGGGTGAAGTTTGCCAAGAGGAGGTCTGTTCAGTCCGATCAGTCTGCTGGCGTGGGACAGCGGCGCGGATTGGGGGCCGCGGTCGCGGCCCCCACCTCGAGCAGTTCGTCATTGGACAGGAAGAAGAACCTGCATTAATGCAACGAGGTTTCAGGCCGTGTCAGGTGATCAGGGACGCCTCAGCCCTTGTGCACAGTCGGTTCTGACAACCAAACCAACACCCCTCCTCTCACCCGATTGCGCCAGGCTCACACAGAGAAGCCGCACCAAAACATGCATCACTGCCTCGCTTTACAACAAAGGCAGCGTCGCAGCCGCCACACCTGGGGAAGGCCATCTTCTTGGTGTCCAGGAAGTCGTTGAGGCCGCGCTCCACCACCTCCAGCTGCGCGCTGCAGGACTGCAGCTCCTCCAGCAGGCCCGGCCAGTCCGCCTGTGAGGGCCCACACAGCAGGTTTGGGGTGTTTTGAGCCGTTTTGAGGACGGGAACATGCTTGCTAGGCAGTTGGGCACGCATCAAACAGCAACAGGCAGCCTTGCCATGCCGCAAAGGCTGCCGCCAGGCAGGGGTTTGAGCGGCGGGCAGGGCCGCACCACGCTGAGCATGAGGGGCTCCTGCCGGACGCGCTCCATGATCCCGCGCCACGCCTCGTCCATAGTCCTGAGCACAAAGCACACCACACGGCAACCACAGAGTGTGAGCATGAGCAGCGCGGCCGATCGTATCGCAGCAACGCCCCTTCGGAAAAACATACCCAGACTATTTCCAGCGCGGATGAGCCGTATTTCTTGAACGTGGCGCCGATACACTGGTCAATGAACGCAGGTCCCTCTGCCACCGCCCACCGCCCCACACCTACCTGAACGCGCCGCCCTCGCGGGGGATGTGCCGCATGATCTCCTCGGCCCCAAAGATGGGCTGCAGGTACAACCACTTGCCCTGGCAGCGCAGCCACTCCTCCAGAATGTCCTGGGGCAGTTGGGAAGGCAGTTCCAGGGTCGGGTTTCTATCTTGCAGAAGTCACATGTTGATGGTTTGAGGTTGACGCACACAGAGGGCATCGCAGGAGGGCTTATCACTGCGGCAACCAGACGATTCGGTGGTGCCAGGCTCCCACATGCTGTTGCTGGTGGGCGGCCACGGTCTGCCCCCAACCTGGAACCGCCGCAGCTTGGCCTCCCAGGGCCCGATCCTCTCCACAAACGGCCGGCTGGCGGGGCTGCTCGACATCGCCTGGGCCTTGACAACTGCAAATTAGAGACAGTGCAGGGCAGCGGCGGCGGCCGCAGGCGGCGCGTCAGCTGGTTCATGATCCTGCACGCAGCTGCCCTTAGAACCTGGTCAAACAAACGCGTGCCGGCAGAGAGACTGTCGGACCACGCCACTCTGCATCACGTGGTGTTCCCTGCTTCAGGTCGTTACCATGGTCGTCCAGCAGCATCTGGGCCTCCTCAATTGGCGCCCCTGCACGCAAAAAGCAGGGCCGCGTGGCAGTTGGGTCGAGGCGTCCAGGATCCATCGCCAAGGGGGCAAGGTATATTCATATGTGGGATCTGAAGAGCCACCCGCCCACCCCGCAGAGTCAAGATGAGCCCCCACATGTGACAGGCCCTGCCAGCGCAGTGGAGCAATTCCATTCGAGCAGGAAAGTTCACTGCGCGTCAGGCCAGCGCACCCTTGAGGATGAACGTGCCCGTCTCGCGCCAGGGCCCCAGCTCAAAGGCGAGGCCCTCCCAGTCGGCCGCCATCTTATCCAGGGCACGCTCGATGCCCGCCTCCCTGCACAGGGTTCAGGGTTGGAGCAGGCCGTTGTGAATCGTGCCTTTGTCCATCTCTGATGGGTGCATTCAAGTCTTTGTACTGACCAAATCAAGGGCCAAAGGGTCAGACGTGGCCTGAGGCTTGAAGCGTCCAGGCGATTTGCGCGACAGTTGCTCGCCGCGCAGAGCGCTTTATGGGGAGCAAGCGCGCTCGACGGCTTGCCTGCTGGCGGCGTCCCCGATTTCCGTGAGCTTATTCAGGTGGTCGGCGATGCCGTTGTCCAGCAGCCGCTTCAGGTTGGTCACCTGGGGCAGCAGGGACAGAGTTTTGCGCACAGGAACTTGCGGGAAACGCGGCACTGGCTTGCGTGCAGGTCAGCAGATCTCACTTTGTTACAACAAATGCACGATCGCTGACTTCCGGGCCCTGATCGACTCCAAGCAACTCAAGGTGTTGAAGCCTCACTGCCCAAAGCTCAAAATCGAATGCTCTCCCGCAACCTCCAGCCCTTATCCGCGTGCTGCAAAACCGATAATACCCACCTCGTCCTTGCGGATCTCAAAGCCGGCCACCTCGGCGATTGCCTCCCAGTGGCGCTCCCGCAGCCCCGGGTTGCAGATCACCGCCAGCAGCGGCACCTGCGGGCGGAGCGGGGCACCATGGCATCACGCGCCCGCCTGGGTGTTGTGCGGCTGCCACAGAGCCGCCTCGCGTGCGTTGAAAAGCCAGGTGGGAACTAAGCACCACCACTGGTGTTCGGTTTGGGGTGCTGCTGGTTGCAAACATGCACAGACAGGGCGTCAATCAACAGCAGGGGGGGCTATCAAGGCAAGCATTCACCCCCACAAATCCGCATCCCAGACGTACGTGTGCCTGGAAGGCGGCGACCCTGGCGCGCGCCTCCTCCGCGGTTGCCAGGGGGATCGGCTTGGGCTCCGCGCCGCCGCTGCCGCCAAACATCTTTGTCAGCTTGAACAGGCGCCTGCGGCGACGGAGAGCCAGGGGGCCGGGAGCCAAGGGTTCAGCAGTGCATTGCCATGCAAAAACGCATCAGGATGCAGGTACCTTGGAATGGTCTGGGTGATGACGACGGCACCATGCACGTGGCGAAGCAGACGCAGCCACCCCCCAAGCAGTGTTGCGCCTCCTTGTCGAGCGCCCAAAACAGGGCCGCTGCGCAGCACCACCATCCTCATCTGTTGGCTGCACCCTTGCTGCAGCGCACCTGGCGGCGTCTGCGGTGTCGGCCTCAACCTCTTCTGCGTTGATCTTCCAGAACGGCCCATTCATCCTGAGAGGGGAAACAAACATTGATTGGTCTTGGCAAAAGGTGCTTGCTGCACACAAGGACACGACAGCGCACACAGGGCCGCTCTCATCAGCGGTTGCAAATTAGGGCTTCGGGTTCTGGGTTGAGGGTTTTACCCACAAGGTGTGCATTTGCCTGGCTGGAGATGTGCAGCATGGTAGCGACGGCCGCAATGAGCATTAGAAATGAAACGCCATGCACTGACACACCGTGCAATGCGAGAGTGCACCCAACACAGCGCGGGGCTCACCATGTGGCGTGCTTGTCGTAAAACGCGTTGATTGCAGACCACAGCTGCACGTACGGCTCCAGGGTGGAGCACAGGCGTGCGACATGGGTGTAGCTGCACATAGGCAGGTGAGCGGCAGCGGGTTTGGCAGCCGCGGGAGAGCGCCACTGCAACAAAGGACGCCATGGGCTGCATTGCAGAGCCTAGATGGTCTTCGACAGCGCTTCCAACCGGCCAGCAAGGAGACATTGCCTCGAAAAAGCGTTCATATGTGTCTTCCAACCAGGTATCTGCAGCCGCGCACACCTCGTGGACGGCCAGCCGAACATCTTCTCCTGAGCATTGATCTCTGCCGCCTCCTTCTCTGCCCCCGCCAGCCGCGCCGCTAGGCCGTCCGCCTCGGCCGCAGCCTGCTGGCGCCTGGTGACGTCGCCTGCGGCGCGCAGGGGGTGGGCGCGGCGCGGCTCGAAGAGCGCATCCGCAGGCCTGAGGGGCTGGCGTCCCGCTTTCCCAACACAAATGTCCGCTTAACCAGGATCCACCATGCTATGTCGCAGGCAAAGGGCAGAGGCGCCAAGGTGCCAGTCACCAGAAACACCTGGCTTTGGAGCCCAGTGAAGCTCACTGGCTCTGCTGTGCAGTGTGTCGCCCACCTTTGGCCTCGACGGCAGCCAAGTCTGAGGCGCATTGCTCCAGCAGCTCCGCAAACGCCTGTATGTGTATTTGAGGAAGGGGAGCGGGGGGTGGTGAGCGCCCTCTATCTGCATAAGCACTCCCAGCATCAAAGTTGACCATAAACCCCAGACCTTCCAAACATATCCCCGCCCCATCCCCTCCAGGCGCACGCGCTCCGCGCCGCTGCCCAGCACAACAACAGCCCTTCAGCCCGCCCCGCCCACCTTGCGCCGCGCCTTGAGCGCCCCCTCGAACGACCTGTGCTCCGATGTGGCGCGCGCCATGGCGTCCCGCAGCAGGTCGCCCGCGCGGCGGGGCCACTCGTAGGCGCGCCGCGCCGCCTCAAAGTCGTCCTCGGGGACGGGGTGCCTTCGATTGTTCGCAGACATCGT